TGATTTTTTTAGATGAGGTACAGCAGTTCACATGGTATGACAGAGCTGTCACTGCTCGACATGTCACATCAGCTGTCCGTTTTCTATCGCTTAGACACACAAAGAGAGAGATAGACAGATGAAGACTGGTCACTGATCAGATCTGTTCATCCTTTGGACAATTTAGAAGACCTTGAACAACCCTTCAGTGTCTGATTATAAAAAAGTGTCCAGAATCACACTTTCTACAATGAACCAAACCGAAGCCCACAGATGTCTCATCGCCTTCAGGAGATCTGTGACTTTTCCTAAAGGTTGAGCAAGTTTAAGTACACATAAGCTCTCTGTGTTCCTGCTGGAAAATCCAGTTTCAGCTAGTCACACTGTTTTGAAACACAGTTAGCCTCTTGCTGGTATAAGATGGTCATAAGCTGGTACATAACAATCAATGTTGCCTCTTTAGCTAGTAGATATATAATTAGCAGCTAATCTACCAAACGACACCTGCTTTGATTAACCATGTTAACCAGTTCAGAGAAAATAATTTAGACAGTCTAGACCAAGGGTGTAAAAACTGGAGAGTAGCTCCAACCCTAATCAATCACACCTCGACCAGCCTATCGAGTTCTTACTAGATATTCTAGAAACTACAAGGGAGGTGTGTTAAAGCAAGTTGGAGTAAAACTCAGCAGAACAACGACCCTCCAGGACTTAGTTTGGACATCCTTGGTCTAGACCTCTTTATGGCCATTTTAGTGCAACAGTTGTGCCATTTGTACTAACCAATGACCCTTCATGACTTGCCAGAAGTTGGTACACTCTATTTACAATCAGACACTCAATTTTCCACCATATGCATTATAAGTTTTTGCAACACCTTAAAATCGCACTCTTAAATTATTATCACCTGGAACAGTAGATTGTTTGTTGCTGGTCTACCATGATTGAGTTAAACAAAAAGACCAGTTTAGTCAAGCTTATGAAGACCAAAGGTATACAATTTCAGACCAAATGAGACCAACAAATGACAATCTTATATCAGCCTGAATCAAAATACCAGTTTAAAGTAATTAACTTGCTGCCTAAATCTTAAGCTGCTTTTCAACTGTGCGGTAAGCTACAATTCGACTCTTTTGTTTTGCATTTCCACTGTAGTTGTTTATATAAAGTTATGTATAGTTACTTTGCCTCTACTTCCATGAAATCATCGTTTTCATTCTGGGTCATCCTGTTCAGCTAATGCTAGATCTGCTCCTCAGCTATCAATGAGGAGAACATCTAGATCTCTTATTGACCTCAAAGGCTGTGTTACTCAACATACCTGCAAGCTTGCTTGGGTGCGCACAGTGAATGTGACATCGTCGCAGTGTTGGCGGTTGCAATATTTTTTGTAACTTTTTGTGAGGCTCTTCATATGAAGTTGCAGGACTTAAGTCCTGTTAAATCTGGCCAAGCTGTGATAATTTGCATGTGCAACACCTTTAGAGGCCAATCTCAAAGAACACTTTTTTTAATGATTTACAAATGTTCGTGAACATTTTGCATGCTACTTATGTGCCGTGTGCGCCTTGCATTTTCACCACCTACTGTGCCTCACGTTTTTATCTATGTGTGCTGTTAAAGTTGAAAAAAGTCAACTCTGAGTGGAAAAAGTGTGTTACGTCAATTGAGTCTTTTTCAATCTCCAATTAAATGAAAACAGAGACGGGGTTTTCGTTGAGGTGACAGCAGTGTTTGTGCTGTCAAGACGACTACAGAGACTTTTAAAGATAGAGGAGAAACTACTGGTCGCTGTTTTGAGTTATCTAGAGCTGTATGACTTTACAAATATTGAATATAACAACATTATCAAATTAAAATTCATATTATATCATATCATATATCATATCATATCATATCATTTAATATTTTAATCATATTAAAATTATACCAATATCAACATCAACACTTGTGCATAATACGCAGCTGATTCAGTCATTGCCTAGCAACATAAAAAGCGCAGCACACTTCTTTTTTTGTTGTCAACAAAAAAAAAGCGCTGCAGTCCCTCGCCTTTTCAAAATGGAAAATCTCATTTGGTGCGATTGGCCCCATAGAAATCCAAAACAACTGACTGACGTGAAGTCCTTTAGGTTTCCTTTGAGCTTTGAGGGAAAACATTGCAAATATCTTGTGCACAGGTTGTTTAATGATTTGAAAGTACATAGTTTTATTTTTTTTTATGAAAAAACTGTTTTGAATGAAATACTCAATTAGCTTGGATATATAAATTGTCATGCTACAATTTCAAGAGTTCACACTTAGCTGATAATCAATAAAGCGTATTTGGCATGCTGTCCCGGGAGAGAGCCCTGAGCTCGTAATATCCTCGAGCCCGGGGCTCCCTCCCGTTAGAAGGGCGAGAGGGGAGTTCGAGGTCAGGTAGGTCTCGAAAACTCCCCTGCTTGTCACCGTGAGAAGTGTGAACTGAGGTTGTATTGGGTGATAATTTGTTTTAGTCGATTTGGCTATGATTCATGTTTTGGACGGTGGGAGGAAACCGGGGAACCCGGGGGAAACCCACGCGAACACGGAGATCATGCAAACTCCGCACAGAAACACCGACCGGCCCGAAAGGTTGGACCGGCGGTGTTCTTACTGTGAGGTAACAGCGCTAGCCACTGGGCCACCGTGTCGCCCAATCAGGAAAGGAGGAGGATGAAGGGGTGGAAAGGGGGGAGCTTCAAGACAAAGATAACTGTGTGAGTGATAAACTCAGGTTATTTATAATGCTTCCGTAATCATCTAATAGGGCTGATTACGGAGCTAATAAGGAGCCAGCCGTGTTGATTATAAGCACGTGATCCTCTCGAAATTAGTTTATGAATAAACCACACTTCAGTGGCTGTGCTTACTGTTTAAATATAGCAGGTTTGGTGAATTGAGTTGCAAATCCAATGACTCTAGTAGTGATGATTCTTTCAGACCAATCAGAGATTATCAGTGTTTACATCACATTTAAGTGATGGCTCACTTTAAACCTGACAACCAAACTGTACAGTACCATGCCTTGGAAAACCAACTTTGGAGAACCGTCTTGTAATACACCCAAAGCGCTTCACAATCATGAGGGGAGATTCTCTCCACACCACCACCAGTGTGCAGTATCCACTTGAATGATGTGACGGCAGCAACAGAACAACAGCGCCAATGTGTTCACCACACACTAGCTATTGATGAAGTGGAGAGACAGTGATAGAGTAAGTTTGGTGGATAGGGATGATTGGGAAGTCATGATCTGTAGAGGCCAATGAAGGGAATTTGTCCAGGACACATGGCTTACACACCTAATCTTTACGAGAAGAGCTATGGAATTTTTAATAACCACAGAGAGTCAGGACCTTGGTATAACGTCTCATCTGAAAGATGGCGCTCACTGAAGGTATAGTGTCCCCTTCACTATACTGGGACATTGAGACTCACACAGATCACAGATTAAGTGCCCCCTGATGGCCTTTATAACATCACTTCGAACATCAACATTAACATGTTTACTGACATTTGATTTAATGGCTGTTGCAATCAAACTTTCCCTCTGATAAAAATCTGGCAAAAGGTTTGTCAAAAGATTTGAGACACTTTCCTGTGTGGCTTCAGTTACAAAAAAATTCGATCCAAGAACCAATAGGAGCACTCAAGCTAGTGACATAATGAGCGCGAAAACTTCAATGCTTTTTAGGAAAAAATGTCGAAAGCTTTTTGTTCTAGTTTTATTATCAAAAATGTCATTAGCAAAAGTAGCTCCACAGGTTGTTTAAATTTGCTCCAAGAAATCATCTCTGAACACTGGTTACTGAATGTAGCCCAGATTGATGACGTCAAACTCCAGGTGAGTCTTTTGTGTCTGTGTCTGTCATGTCTTGATTGCCCTTCAGTCTGACATTATGACAACTAAGACAGTGTGATATGAAGATCATGTTTGAACATTCTGTCAAACAACATTTTGTAGAAATATTAAAAATAAGCTTAGTTTAAGAGCAATATTCTAAGTCTAATTAAGCGACAGTCTACTTTACCAGTGATCATTTTAGAATGTCAGTTGAAACAGCTAATGGCTATCCTAGACTAGCGAAAACTTCTATCATAAACTGAACTTTCCACCACATGGTGTTTTTTTAAATACACCCAATGCAACCTTTAATAAAACCCCATTATAACCACCTCACATATAGTTTCAAGTTACTATGCAAAATTAGATGTAAACAAATGGACACAATTAGACTAACTAATTACAACCTTAGACTAACTCAAAACAACAAATGAAAATATTAAACAAACAAAAGTCTTAACATGATTGTCATACAGCTAATAATCATTTTAAACCAACTTCGTTATTTGAACCAGCCAGTCTTAAATGAATGCGAAATCAGTAAACACCTGAACACTGCTGAATTTACAAACATGGTGTGTTGTTTTAAATCCCCCCACCATGACAAGACAATAATGCCTTTATAAACTAGCACCATCTGTTAGATGGTTAATTCCTCATGGTCTACCAGATTTGAACAAAATGTCAGCAACTAATTACAATATTAAACAAAGATAAACAATCATACTAAACCAATTGACAGTCTTTAAAACAACTATTGACCAATTCAGAGTTAATAACACACTTTTTGAATGACCACCCCCAGAAATAGGAAACCCTTTTGTGTTATTTTAAATATCTTTAATGTGATTTTTAAAATAGAAAATAAAAAAAGAAAATAACATTATTTTGATTAATTCGGGCTTACAAATAACAAAACTTTGCTATGCTGTGTATTTTATAAAAAAATCTAAAACAAATAGCATACTTTGCATTAAACTGACATCAACACGCTGACGAATCCAGTAACATTAGTGTGCAAAGCGGGGTCCCTTAAATCCCTTTTTAATTATTTATGTAACCTATTTGAAATTTTAAAATTATGAACCTCAATAAAATTATATATATTTTAAATGTTTCACAAAAAGAACAAGCCTTGGAGCGCCTGACATACCTATAGTCGTAATCACCGTGATGGCGAAATAGAAGGACCCAGCGAACCTCCATTGGACCCCCGCCTTGTGCGGCTTGAGCTGCAGCACGACCCGCTCCAGCTCGTCGAAATTGACTTTGCTCAAGTTGTACTTGTCCATCAGCTCTCGCTTCCGATCGTCCAGGATCTTCTTCTGGGTGATCTCCATCTTAGACTCTAATGCATCAAAAACCGCCGCTCCGACGAGCAAATAAGTAAAAGTACAGATGATCAACACGAGGGTCCTGATGTTTTGTCTCTTCATGGTCGAAGCGAATGTAATGAGGTGCAAACTTTGAGGACTGATGGTGATGAGAAAGCGCCGGGCTCTTTCATTGCGACGGGGCTCACTGAGCTGTTCCTTCAGCACCACGGGTGCACATGTGCCTGTTGAGTCAACACATCTCAGCGCCGTTTTATCTTCATAACCTCCCACTGGGACTGAACTGAACGCTCGTTTACTGGATTTTTGACGATAAAGGGTTTTCCACAACTAATTCTGTTGATGCCATTTTTGGATTCTTTATTTTTCAAATGTATCCCGTATAACCTATGCATATGTGATCATGGACCAAAAAATGTGTGAAGTTCCATGTGTACATTTGTAGGAAAACCAAAAAATACATTGTATGGTTTAAATGCCAAAAGCATAAGAATATTAAATAAATAGCATGTTCCATTAATATATGTTGTGAATTTCCAACATATAGATCAGCACTCGATTTTTGATCATATTAAGCATTGCTGGACACGTAATTTGTTCAAATTTAATAGTGGTTTTGTCTTTATTTTCATTTTTTAGATCTTTAGATTACAGATTTTTTCTGAAATCAGTCAAATACTAGCTGTCATTCATTCATTCATATATATATATATTTTTTTTTTCTTTCTTTTTTTTCTTTATTAATCTGGGGTCGCACACAACGGAATGAACCGCCAACTTTTCCAGCATATGTTTTATGCCACGAATGCCCTTCCAGCTGCAACCTATATAGAAAACATCCATAGACACTCATTCACACACACATTCATACACTACAGTAAATTTTAGCATACCCAATTCACCTATACCACATGTTTTTGGACTTGTGGGGGAAACTGGAGCACCCGGAAGAAACCCACATGAACATGATGAGAACATGCAAACTCCACACAGAAAAGCCAACTGACCCAGCTGAGGCTCGAACCAGCTACCTTCTTGCTGCAAGAGATCACTGAAAACTTATTCAGCTTTAAAGAATTATAAATCTCAAATTCTAAGAAACATATACTTATGAATGCTTTTGTTAAGCAAACACATGGTAAAAAAACAAACACATATTATTATGTTGTAAATATGGTTTCAAAATGAACACATTTTCATGATTATGAAAGGATTTCATGATTTTCTTTATGATCAAGCTTAAACTGATCTCAAAAACTGCAAGGTTGCATTTATTTACAGGATGTTTTAGAATTAAGTGAGCGGCTTTGGTGAAGTTTGAAGCTGATTAATTATGCCCATTAGGCCTTAATTGTTTTATAATAGCCATTAAAATTGTTATACAACAAACTTTGGACATTTCTGGATAATCTGTATTTAGAGCACATATGATGGAAAGTGGTTTCACATTGTTTCTAGTATAAGGCTTATTGATGATGTCACACACACATACACAAAGAGAGGAGGAAGCTTTGTTTTTTTTGATGGTTTATGATGACTTCATTGTTGTAATTTGTTTTATACTCTAAAAACGGCTTGTTATCGCAACTTACCTTAAACCTAACCCCTAAAGCAATTCTCAATGGAAACATGTGGCACATTTTGAATGAGAAATTACCCTGTTAAGTATGATATTCAACAGTTATGAACACAAGGCATATCGTCATGACATACAGTGCATCCAGAAAGTATTCATAGCGCTTTACTTTTTCCACAGTTTTATGTTACAGCCTTAATCCAAAATGGATTAAATTAATTCAAAATTCTACACACAATACCCCATAATGACAATGTGAAAAAAAATATTTTTGAAATTGTTGTAAATTTAATAAAAAAATTTAAAACCTGAAAAATCCCATGTACAGAAGTATTTACAGCCTTTGCCATGAATCTCGAAATTGAGCTCAGGTACATTCTGTTTCCACTGATCATTAATCATCTTAATTCAGTTGATCAGACATGATTTGAAAAGGCACGACAGTGCATGTCAAAGCACAAACCAAGTATGAAGACAAAGGATTTGTCTGTAGGCCTCATGTGAGAGGAAGACAAAGGAATGAGCAACATGAGAAACGTGTGATTTTTCAGGTTTTTTTATTTTTAATAAATTTGCAACAATTTAAATAATTTTTTTTCACATTGTCAATATGGAACATTGTGTGTAGAATTTTGAGGAAATAAATGCATTTAATCAATTTTGAAACCAGGCTATAACATAAAAAATGTGGGAAAAGTGAAGCGCTATGAATACTTTCTGTATGCACTGTAAACGTCATTATACCAATTTGTTCTGTATACCAATAAAAATAGCCCCACCATTGTCAATATGGCATGTAGTCAAACACACCACACGCACGCACACATCATTAATTAAGAAACCACATGAAAATGTATGTACCTAATGTATGTATGTAATGGCCTACGTTTTGCTAAATTGTTAATATTTGTTTGAATAGGTTTTATAACATTTAAATATTTTAATATTTTAACATTTCCTATTTTAAAAATGATTTATTTGCCAAAACAGACATTCGTTGCACTAACTACTGAATTCTTGATTCTCTGTAGTGAACAAAAACGCACCTTTCATTTACAGAGACGCATACAGGTTTTCTCTTTTTTCTCTCTGTTCAAATAATCCATTGTGAAAGACTCAAATTGTTCAGAGGATATCAGTTTTTTTCTCAATCTTGATATGATATCGCTTACCTCCCAGACATGGTGTCTGCTTTCAACACAGTTCATTTTTGATCAAGAATAGATCCAGGCTCATCTAGATAATGGATCAACTGGACCACCAGGCTGAAATCAAGCTGGCAGACCTTCGAGCAGCTCCCTGTTCAGCAAAAACAACTATGCATTTCCAACAGGGTCACAGAGTTAAAAACATTTATGGCTGTTTTCATATTTTAATTTAAATTACTTTGCTAATGATCTGTCAATGAAAGGCTATGCTCAAATGTCCATTATTCAATGCCGAACATGCTCAAATGTCTATCACATTAAAATTTCATTAACTATAAAAAAAAGCTAAAATTTTTCAACATTCACCTTTCACCAATGAATTCACCATTCATTAAAATTAACATTGCAGAAATTCCGTTGATGCTGATCAATAATTAAGCTTAATGTAATGACCCCGCTTTGTATTGTTCATATAATTAGGTTCTCTCTTTTTCCTGAAGGATGCTGTAAGTGAGACTATAAATGAATTAGGGAAGTGATACTGTCAGCTCGCATAATCAGCCCTGCTGGCTCTCCAGATTCAGACAGCAGATATTGCAGCACAATAATAAACTGAAGAATAATTTTCATCTGGGTGGATGAAAATATAACTTACATGAGGTAAATAATGAATGAAATACACTTTTATAAACACATTAAACTAACATGTTAAATTTTTTTTATGCATTTCTCAAATCGCATACAATAATGACTTTAATTAATAATTAAAGTCATTAATAATGATTTTTAAAAATGTTTTAGATATGATTTTACCTACTTACCATATTGCCTTTTCATTATTGCTCAAAAGTATAAGTTCAATGATTGTGTATGCTGCAACTTTCCATGAGAGGGCGTGGTGGGGCAGTAAATTCACAGCAGGGTAAACTATTTACAAAGTCTTTTTACGCATGTTATGGGACGTCCCGCGGTGCCTGCTTGTGATTTGAAATTAAGTGTCTATTTCAAACAGCTTCTGGAGAAATAATCTTTAATATTTGTGAAACAGCTATTTCATCAGGCTCGTAGACAGCCTTGTGAAAGGTGTGGTTCTATTTTTATTTTATTTTTGCTGTTATTTGCCTATTTATTCTATTCAATTATGAGGTTTAAATACTGAATTTAGTGACATTTTAAGCTGAATTAGCTTGTCGGATGGTCATCATAACCACACTTTACGATATGCAGTAACAAAATATTTTCTAAATATTTAGAATAAAGAAATATTAATAAACACCTTTTATTAAAGTGCAAATGTATTATATCATATCATTTGAAAAAAATAGGAATCTGTTAAAGTTTTTAATTAAAAACTGTAGCCAATTGTCATTTATTAGGCAAATATCAAACTGGCCAGCACATTCAACTTTCCTCAGTCATAATTTGGCCATTCTAACAAATTAAAAGATAATAATAAAAATGCTTAATGATTTTTCTAGCCTTTTTTGTAAAAAAAAAAAAAAAAAAAAAAAAAGAATGTTTGATAGAAGATTCATAGATAGTTACAATAGCCAAATTAGTGATCAACTTAATTTTAATATGGGCCACTTTTGGCGCTTTACAACTTTTTTGTTCAATTTTGTTTCAAGAACAAGGTCGAAGATTTAGAATAAAATTTACTTGTAAAATGTTTTCTCTATTTAGATACAATGCAGTAGTAAAGCATGATTTCACTTAATCTGATTGTATGTTTTCTTGCACAGCTGGATGTTGGAACCATGAAGAATAAGTTTGCATTGGCCAAAACTGATTTACAGAGGTCACACAGATCAACAGATAATTCTGCTTGGTCTTAAAGCATTTTTATTTTCACAATTTATGATGATGTAGCAGTTAAAATAGGACAAATGAGCTCATGTATAGGAAAAATTCTGGACCTTTGTCATTGAGGGACGGGTCCCGCGGGTCCATCCCCAATATTTAAAATATGTTTTTGAGTAAAATAAACTTTAATCTAGGTGAAACAGCTATTATATCATCACTCAGCGATGTATTTAGCCCAGTAAAAAATGAAAAATTTACCTGTGATGAATATTTCTAATAAAATAAGATGTCATACATTTTATATGCTATCTTAAAACAACAGCAACTCTTGCAAACAAATAGGGAAATTGCAGTAAACTATTTTGGAACTGCAATATCTAAATACTGTATTTTAATATGTCATCAAGTGATTGTTGTTTTTAGTATGCCAGAAAAGATTGGATTGTGAGGCTGACAGGGTACAGTACCTTAACTATTTTACAACACTGAACAAAACTGCTACACAATAAATGAAGTTTGTCATTTAAATTAAGATTACACTTTTTAAACCAAATGTTAGATTTGTCCATATTTGATTCAACTAGAGTTAACATAACCATAAAATTTTAGTGTGGTCGCTCGCAGTAAAATATGGTACAGCTGTATAGAAAATGAGCAATCAACAGAACAATTTGGAAAGTGCAAATTTTCTCAATTAAATAAATAAATAAAAATACAGCTGTACACATTGTTTCAATGACTGAAAACCCCATTTGGCTTTTGGCCCATATTCAGGTCATCCTAGCATAATACACTAATTCATGTGGAATCTGACAGAATGCTTTAAATTTTTGGAACAAATAGGGTTTAAACCTTGATATTGCAGCATCTACATGTAACTAATTACAAGTAAAATTTTAGATAAAATCCAAATCCTAGGGTGAAGCAGTGGCGCAGTAGGTAGCGCTGATGCCTCACAGCAAGAAGGTCGCTGGGTCACTAGTTCGATCCTCCGCTCAGTTGGCGTTTCTGTGTGGAATTGGCATGTTCTCCCTGCGTTCGTGTGGGTTTCATCCGAATGCTCTGGTTTCACCCACAGTCCAAAAAATGTGTTGGATAAGTTGGCGGTTCATTCTGCTGTGGCACTCCAGATTAATAAAGGGATTAAGCTGACAAGAAAATGAATGAATAAAATTCAAATCCAAGAGTATGATCAAACAATTAAGGCCCAATCCAATTCTATTTTTGTACCCCTACCCCTTCCCCTTGGCCCTTACAACCGAGGGTGAAAAGGAAGGGCTTCAAAATAAAAAGAATAGGGACAGCACTACAGCACCAGCACACGTCATCATATGTCCTCGCAATCTCGTGCTTCATGTGAGATGAGACGATGGCAACTGCTGTAGTTATTGCAGTTGTGTTATTTTTTGGTATTTATCTTCAGGAAATCACTAAAGGCATATATTAGGTTACCATAATGATCTAATGTGGCAATAAGATCGTACCTTTACTGCGTATTTACACAGTGGCCATTTTCATCAATGTAAACACACCAAAAACAGCATTAACATTATAGCAGACACTGTAAAAAGCCCATTGACAGCCACTACATTACTGACAGGGTATTCCAGTGTCAGAATGTTGCGGGACTGCTGTACAGGAGTTATTAATATAGGGATTATAGATCGCGAAATTTAGTGGTGGTTTTTTTTAGCTTTTTTTTTTTTTTAAAGCATGATGGAAAAACACGAATGTGGTTATGATTATACTAAAACGTGTTTGTTTGTCGTAAAAATTCGTAATAATGACAAAAAATACTAATTTGTGGATCTCCTTACCTCCGGGTTCAGCAATACTGCCGTTGTGATAAAATCTAAATATATAAAGTAAAAACTAATAATAGATATAAAGTAATACTAATAATAGTAACACACACACACACACACACACACACACACACACACACACACACACACACAAACAAACACACATTTATACACATATTTATTCAAAGACAGCTTTTATAAGAAAAATTTCAATATAAAATACACAAAAGGTTGGTTTTGATCAATAAATCAATTTAGATCTGTGTATATGACCGTTTTCCAACCGTGGTAAGGTTAGTTTGACATTTGACATTCATTAAACATTCACTTTCAAACCAATTAAATGATTTGCTCCTGTTATAGTTTAAGCCAAAACTACATTAGATAGAAATATATATATGTGCCCTTTATGTTGCACAAGGCTTATTTTCTCAATTGAAAAAACATAAGCCATATGAATGAACTTAACAATTCAACTATATGAAATCATACAACAAAACAAATACCAAAATGTTCAGAAAAAACATCCTGGTTATTGCACAAGACTGGAATTAGCACTTTATTTATTTTATAATATTTCTTTAAATAACTTTTAATGTAAAAATGATAATATTCATTTAAACTCTGGCACCATTTGAGATAAAGGAATAAAACAAACTGCACAATTGTCTGAATATTATTCTCTATGATGCACAAGCTTTGATTTTTACAGTAAAGCCTTTGTTGTTTTTATATATGGTGCGGTATCTATATTATTAGTGTATCGGATACACTGTAAATGCTTAAATAATTAAACTCTGACACCTTTTAAAAATAATGGACTCAAATTTACTCTAAACATTTCTAAATATTATTCTCTATGATGCACAACACCTGTTTTTTACAGTTGTGGCTTTGTTATTTTTATATATAGTACTGAATCCATATTTTCAGTATTTCGGATACAATGTAACCACAAACACAGATATAGCATTAAAAAAGTGATATAACAATCTGTAAAATATTAAAAGTATTATTGTTTATAAAGTATAAGACAATGCCTTTGTAGTAATGTGTTTTTTTTTTATAAACAGTAATTCAACTTGTTTTGTATTTTTTGTTGTTTAATAATTGTGCTTATATTGTTTTACCATACACCAATTTGCCATGGAATGGGTGAGCTTATTTATGTATTTAGTTAGTTAATTAGTTGTTAGTTAGTTATATTTGACTGTTGCCTGCCGTTTATTGCCCTTACTGTCTGACAATAAATTTGTAATATTTTTTATGCAAATTGTTCATAATATTTTTATAGCCAAATGCAATATTGTAATCCTGTAATCCAAATATGTAACTTTTTTAACATTCAAAAGGTGTCAGAGTTTAATTATTTTAAGTGTTTACGGTGTAGCTGATACATTGAAAATATGGATATATTACTGTATGTAAAAACAATGGCATAACTGTAAAACTGTTTTAGTGCATCATAAAGAATAATATTTTTAAAATTTTACAGTTGATTTGATTTCAAAAAATTGTCAGAGTTTAATTCATTTAAGTGTCTACAGAGTATGCATTATACTGAAAATATGGATTCAGTACTGTATCTAAATTCAACAAAGACATAACTAAAAATAAAAGCTTGTGCATCATAAAGAATAATATTTAGAAAATACTAATATTTAGGAAATTTTAGTTTAAATAATCATTAAATTTTTTTATATTACATAAATATTATAAAATAAATAAAACTATAATTCTCCTGTCTTGTGCAATAACCAGGATGTTTTTCTGAACATTAGGTATTTATTTTGTTGTATAATTTCATATGGTTAAATTGTTTAATTCATTCATATGGCTATATTTGTTTTTGTTTTGCTTTTTATCTAGAAAGTAAGCCTTGTGCAACATATAGGAGACATATTTGTCCATCTGACATAGTATGGGCTCAAACTATAACAGGAGCATAGAATGTAATTGGTTTCAAACCGAATGTCTAATGAATGTCAAACAAACATTATACGATATGACGTGTTGTTGATCAAGAAGGCATCCTATTGTCCATTAGATAATGTCCGTAGATTATATATTACTGATATTTTACTGATATTGTTATTTTAGTGCAAACATGGTTTGCCTAAGTCCTGCCCTTTCCCAGGTTTAAATATAATTAGCCAGAAAGAGAGGGCATGTGCTGCCGATCATGTTACCTTTGGTTGACTAGACCGCAGCAGCTGGGCGGTCCTTCAGCTTCATGAACTACAAAGTCACTAGAGAACAAAGTTTGAAATGAGTCCGAGCTCAACAAACCTGTGCAAGGCAAAGCGAGCGCGCGGTCAATAATGGACTCAGCCAAGCGGGATGAACACATGAGCGAACACGCCGCCAACCTACTGGGCACAGGACAGCGGTACACACGGACACACAACACTGCAAAAGTCCAGTCAAGATACTTGAAAATCCTCTGTGCGGTAAGCGGACACTCTCGGGGAAACAAAAGCCGGTTACTGAATCTAGGTTAACCAAACATGACTGACTCGGGTTAAGTTACTCGTTTAAACTTTTTGCTTAAAAGTTTGTGCAGGGATTGATTGTTCTTTATTGTTATTTAAAATAAGTTTACAATAGAGTGTAGTGGACTGTTTTATAGTAAAAACTGAGTATACGGTGTATATTTAGATAAACAAACAGTAAAATACTGTGCTTGGCTGCTTTTCAGAAAAAAAAAAACACACAAATGTGTTAATGTTTTACATGCATTTTTAGGTAAATGATAATTTATTCACAGTTTTTTTTTTTTTTTTTTTTTGAAAATAACCTATTTAAAAAGTGGATTAAACAATTTATGTTTTTAAGGTATTGTCAGACCTTTTCACCCAGTGATAAACTATCTGGGAGATTAAAACCATATATATATATATATATATATATATATGAGCAATTCCATGAAAATGTCAACCTTGCCATGAAAAGTAAAATGTTTTCACCAAAATAGCGAAACCGTTTCTACATTTTTTGCGCAGGCAAGTGTTTTACAGTACTTTGAAAATACTTAAAAATGTGTCTGTCAATGTTTTCAAACTATTATATTTGATTTACCAAAGTCACACAAATGGCAATTTCACATCTGTCACATCCATAACGAAAAAGTGTCACATCCATAACACAGCTTTTCCCTCAAAAATGCAAAAATGTCAAAATAAAATAAAATCAATCAGTTTTGTTCTATAAAGAGCCAACTCTTATCCTTTTGTTAAGGAATATTTATTTTGGGTTGTGCAGTTTAATTCACAGAATTTCTACGAAATATGTTGTATACTGTAAACTCGCAGACATTTTTTGTCACATCCATAACGCTTGTTTATTTTCCTCATTTAAAGTATAAAAATGTTCACAGATTGAATTTTTTTGATCCCATAACTCTGTGGTTAGTTGTTTTGGAAAATATAAACAGATGATTCAATATAATGTTAACGTAAACTTTCTCTGCGAATTTATGTTTTGAATTTTTACTGCAAATGTCACATCCATAACGCTGGAATCAGCCATATATATATATATATATATATATATATATATATATATATATATATATATATATATATATAAGCAAGCCAGGAAGGTAAAGCCATGTAAAATTTTATTTTTAAAAGAAATATTTGGGGAAAGTGGCTAAATTGAGCTTGTCAAACTGTATTTGAACCTTGTTTAAGAGAGAGAGAGATAGAGAGTGAGAAAATACTGTAGTATTGCAGAAGGGTGCCAAATGGCAAAGCAGTGAAAACAAGTAACAGTTGGCTGCACCGGACTTCTGGAGGAAATGCTGGTCATTATCTGCCTCTGGAAGCCAGCAGAACCATACTATGTGTAGTGTAGTGTAATGTTACAGTATATCTTTCAGAGTTTAGCTCGAGGAGTTTTCATCGGTAGTACAACTTGGGAAGGTGTTATGTATTTAGTGGACTCCATGCAGAGCAACATAAACCAATCCATTAAAGTTTTGAAGTAAACGGGAGGTTTGTTAGTCAACATTTGTGTTTAAGAGTGCATTGGTTTACAGTAGCAGTGAATGAGCTATAGAGAAGAGAAGAAACTAGCAGATTTATAATGTAAGCGTGTATTTGGGTGGTGAAGACTTCAACTTCTTCTAAAAGGCTGTGGTCTCAGATCAGATGGTTGGGTGGAGTTCAGTTTACTAGAGGGGAACAGAGAAGGTGAACATTTGAGAGAGGTGACTGTTCAGTTAAAACATATTTCAAAACTATTCTCATTGCAGTTCATTTATTTATTAGAAAAATTGCAATATATGCATGGCTGGTGTGTTCGGTTTTTATATTTGATTAACCTCACTTATTTTGTACTAGTATTTTGGGATCTTTTACCCCATTCAAGTAAATAAACTCTGTTATTAACTGAACACTTTTAATTAATTCCTGTATCAGTGTTGAGCTAGAAAACTTAAAGTGAGTTAACAGTGAGAAAAAAGGTGGACTGCAGAGTCTGCACTAAGACTTAGGACTTAATAATTTTAGCTGATACATGAGACAAACACAGTAATATACATTTCCTAGGGTAAAATTGGCATGTGCGTGTGGCTGAAAGAGAAAGCATGCCTCTTATGCAAATTTCTGTTTTACATGGTGTGTCCATTGATGTGTGGCTACAGTTTGTGTTCATATAATCATCCTATGATGATTAAAAATAAACCCTTGGCCTTGTATTAATACCTAGAAATCAAATGTAATGTTTTGACATATGCTGACATTATAAGCTCTGCCCATAGATCATGAAAACCTGCTGAATTTGCATAAATTTGAAAACAATTACAAAAGTAAATTTCCCAATACTGGGTTGTGGCTAGAAGGGCATTGGCTGTGTAAAACATATGCTGGATAAGTTGACGGTTTATTCCGCTGTGGCGACCCCTGAAGAATATATTTAAAAATAATTTTTCATATGTTACTCTGGCCTACGACATTCAAATTTCAGTGACTATTTGTGTAGCTTTTGTTCATCAACTCTTAAAGGGCACCTATGGTGAAAAATCTACATTTCAAGCTGTTTGGACAGACATGTGTGTGTATATATAGTGTATAGACTGTCATATTGGGATGATATAAACACACAGTCCTTTTTTTCAATTGAAAGAGCCCATATTATGCATGAAATAGGGTCATATTTTGGTTGTAAGGGTCTCCAACAACAGTCTAATATGGATGTAAGGTCAAAAAACACTTTCATTATCTTGTAATTTGCATTTATTTTTACCTAATTATCCCAGCGACTCCCATATGAATCGTTCAGTGATTCATTTGTTCCCAAACCCCTCCTTAGCGCAAAGCTAATCTGCGCTGATTGGACCGATGACTGTTGCAAATGGTCGATACTGACTGCCTTCAGCACGAGACAGAGTGAAATGCCCAGCAGCTAATTAACAATATAAAATTAGTCAAAGTGCATACACGCTTCATAGTGTAAGGCGTAGATTTTGGCTGCCAGTGGGTGAATGTAAATACAGACGATGGACTTGGAAAATACCGACGACTAACTATTTTATTGAGCAAAAACTCCAAGAACTGGCGAGGAGATCTCCTACCTTGTCACACTCTGCTCTTTTCACACACACACACACACACACACACACACACACACACACACACACACATACACACACACACACACACACACACACACAAAGCAAACACAAAGCAGCATCCGTCGCGTTTTTAACGTGGCTTTAAGGCTGATTTATACTTCTGCGTCAAACGCCAGCGTAAGCTACGGCGCTGACGCATAGCCCTTCGCCGTGGCCATCGGCGTCGCTGACGTGCACCTCTCAAAAAGTGTAACTACACGTCACAACAACTCGTAGCGCAAGCTCTGTGATTGGCCGGCTTGGTAGCGCTGACGAGTCTGGGCGGGACCGAGAGCCGCGCGAATGGCGCAAGCGAATGTTTACAAGTGTGAAGTCCCGTGAAGGAGCTCCGGATGGAAAGTTTTGTTTTGTGTTTACCTCATAGTTAAAGTTGTTGCACGTCCGCCGGTTCCTGCCTCAAAATGAGCGAGTTTGAGTCACTTGTACATCCCGGAAGTGTTCAGGAAAAGCAAAACAGAAGCGAAGAAACTCGACACAGAGGAACATTTACACCTCACTGCCAACTAGCGTTTCGGAAGTGTTAATGCAGACCAACAGAGACAGCGCGCAGAAGTATAAATGCACAGCTGCGCGCGTTGCCTGCGCCGTGACTTACGCCGGTCACTTGACGCAGAAGTATAAACCAGGCTTTACATGTGAAATGAGAATATAGCGAGTTAACCTGATACAGTACACGTGGTTATAAGTAACAAATCACAACTAATTACATTTGCAAGCTAAGTAAATGAGGCAACAACTTTTATCGCACGAACTTACACTTGAGAAATGGAGGAAGAAACTGATCCAGGTTCTGACAAAGTCCATCAGTAGTCTTTACTGATGCTTCCTTTAAAAAAAACGCAGATGAAGTCTTCTTTGTAGCATGTAGTTTTCAGAAGCACTCAAACTGCTCTAGGCTGGGCTATAATGCTGAGGTTTAATCTTTGGGTAGAGACTCAATAATATCCATCTGCACATTGCCACTTCATTTGACCGGCGTGTTTGTGTGCGTTTGTGTGTGTTTGTGGCTTTTTCTGTGTTAGAGGGCGGGGCTGCAGGTTTCAAATCTCCCGGGTTTGCGCGTGAAACTACTTGGTTTCATTGTCACGTCATAGCGAAACACCTAATGACTCGTTATCATCAAGACGACTCGTTTGAAGCACTATGAGTCGACTCATTTATAGATAAATCAACAGTTTTAAACACTGTACACTTACAAATTTAAGCTTTAGCTGGATATTTCACTTCACTTAGAGCTGTGTTACACACTACATGGAAGAGCATTTTCAAAAACCCATAATATGGGCTCTTTAGCAAAATAGAAACGGTGGACCAATTGGAGCGGTTTTCAGACCGACCGTAACTTTACGTAGGAGAGAGGTCCCCCCGCCCACCAATATTGATTGACAGCCTCGCGTCACGATCATATACTTAAACATTGAAATATTTACATTACAAAATAATAGTTTACATTAAAAAACACTAACATGTCTTTTGAGATTTTTCCTAATTTTAAACATTTACAAAAGGTAAGGAATAAAACCCTCTCTGTACCATGTAGAGTTGGGCGGTCCTCAGTACTGCAGCCTCTGTCTGTACCTGTGCAGCTGCTGGTGCCTCTGGAGCAGTGCTGGTCATTCCACCTCATCTTCTTTTGTGACAGCATTAAACCTTCCTTTACAACACAGAAGCAATTAGTCATTTAAAGGAAAAACTCATGAAATACAATTAAAACAATGGGCTAGTCAAGCACCCTTCATAATGTGTCTAAACTACAACCAAAACATGGATTTCACTTGCACTATAATTAATGGTGATAAAAGCTGACCTCATGCA